GTTTCCTTTGTGTCGATATGAGAGCTGAGGATGTCGGGTAGATTGGCAGAAGTCATGACTTTTGACTTTCCTCCATAAGGATTGAGCTCTATTGGGTTAGAAGGTGCAAGTGAAAGGGTTTTGGGTTCAGAGGTAGTTGGAGATGTTGGAGCTTCGTTCTTTTGGGATGAAGCGGGATGGACCACAATGGATTTCCCTCCAAAGGTGTTGAATGCTGGTGAGGTGGTGTCAGCTGGAGGAGAGGTCATTGTTGGAGATGAAGGGTCCTGCTGGGAGCTTCTTTCATCGTGGCTCCTGGAGGAATGTGAGGGCAAGGTCTCTGTATTCTTGTTGTCATTAAAGCAGACTGGAGGAGGTATTGACACATTTGGCTGTGGAAGGTCAGAGCTGATTTTTGCTGTTGGGGTAAGATTGCGGTCTGGTGATGAGACTCTGGGGTCTGGACCTTTGTGAGGATCCTGCAAGTAGTTGTCAGGTATCATTTGGAGTGATGTAGCTTTGCCCTTTGTCAAGCCCAACTTGGACAGGGCCTCCATCCTGGATTTATCTGGCTCTGGGTCTTTAAAGGAAATACTACGGGATGGACTATTTCGAGTGTTGTCTTCTGTATGTTGCAGCAGAGGATGGGAATTACCTGCCAGGTGTGCCAACATCTGCTCCTGTCGCTCATGGATGTTTACGTTAGCTACAGGTATTTGGGGCTCCTTTCCACCATGAACCACATGGATATTAGGAGGATAGTGGGCTGGCTTTGATGAGGGAGCAGGACCATGTTTCACAGGAATATTTGATCTATCTCTGGGTGTTTTTTCCGACTCCATGCTAAGGCGACGGAGCAAAGATGAAGGATGCAAGTTTGATGTTCCATCTCCCTGGTTCTCTGCAAGCTGCTGGGCAATCAAAACTGGAGTGGGGACGCTGCCTGGAGGGTGGTAGGAGGAATGGCTGTCTGTCGTCCCAAAGCTTGCACTCCGTGAAGGAGGGTTATACTCTGAGGGGAACGCATCATGCCTCGGCTTTGCCTCAAAGCTGTTTTCAGGAGTGTGGGCCATGCGGTAAAAATCTGGATGTAAACAGACAAAACACTCAGTTCAGTTCACCAAAATGTAAAAAAATGATTAAAACTTCTAGACTCAAGACAAGCAGAAGTGGTGCATTGTACCTTGATGGGCGGGGCTATAGATCGGCTCAGCGGTGTGCACCAAGGCTGGTTCTGAGTGGACCAGGTCGATTATGTAGTTAGGCGACACCTCACGGTTCAGAGCCAGACTTTGATCAACCGAGTCAAAAGGTCGACTGTTGAGTTCAGGGTGCCTCCTCTGGCCAAGTCTTTGCTGCTCCTCGTCTACACCATCCTCCAAAGAATCAATGGTTTCCTCAAAGAACTGGAGGCACTCCTGTTCCTCTCGACTCAGAAACTTCAGAGTGTCTCCCTGTTTTAGGCAAAACATTGAAGAACCTTGAGAAAGTTGTTTTTATATCAAACAAAAACCAAGTTATCTGTCACAGTCTCTCTTCTGTTTGCCATGAAGAAGTGCTGAATATCTTTTTCAACCGTTTCTGTTCCTAAAACTTCTATACATCTTTTTCTACCCGGTTGTCTCTCCTCTATTGAGAAGTCAGTGCTCAACTTTGGTCTCTTCCTACTTGAGCTTCATGTTATTAGTTCAAACAGCAGCACAACATCACAAGATATTTAGCAGCAAAAGTCTGACACATGTTTTGTCCCGACAAGGATCAACTCCACCTAATTAATCATAATCCATATGACTATGATAAGTGGTATGATGATGTGTAATGCAACTAAAAATATGTTTTTATCAAAGGAGGGCTGATGAAAACAAAGTCATATTTGGGAATGACTTCACCCAGGCTGATAATCTAAAACAAAAAACTAGGATGAGAATCCAAGAAAATAATACATTTCTTTAAACTGTAAGCACCAAAAGGTATATAATCTAAAGAATCTATGTCTCTCGTTTGGCCACTTTATTAGCAAGTCTAAAGAAACACAGATGAGAAACATCTGACATTTATCAGTCTGGAAAGGATTACAAGCATCTTTCTAAAGCTTGGGACTCAACAGAACCAATATGCAAAAATGAAGAAGACATTTATGGATATTCATAATCTACAATTCCCTGGAAGGGTTAGCAAATCAAGATTACTAGAATCCAGCAGTGGATGGAGATGTACGCTACATCAAAACTTATCCAACAAATATGTTTGTCTCCCAATTAGCGGATTAACTCTTGATTATATGAAATTTTGCCATTTCAATCAAATTTTTCTAATCCAGTATTTAAAAAAATTACTAGAAAAATGGCTAATGTTTCAAAGCACACCAGCAAGTCAACCACTGATGGTTTAAAAATGTTTTCCAGTGGTCTAGTAAAAGTCTGAACCTAAATCTGAAGGTGAAATGACCTTTAAATGGACTTTTTATGCTGGAAAACCCTTTATCATGGATGAGCTAAAACAGTTCTGCATGGAGGAATGGTCGGTCGATATGTTTACTCAGGTTATACTTTTCTCATGAAATCTATTTGCACTGAAACAAAAAACAAAAACAGAATCAGAAAGGAGGAAATACCTTACATTCCTGAAAATTTCAGAAAAACCAACACCCAAGTAAGAAGTGAATGCACCATTTAAGTGAAAACCAACAGATCTAGTATAAATAAACACAACAACACACAAGACTGGAGATAATCTGGATCATTTCAAGGCAGAGAGCTTCAGTTTAAGATGGAAGAGGATGCTAAGGTTATTTTGCTGACACCAGGGTTATGGAAACCACCCCAACAAGACGACTGCATGCTTTGTTTTGCTTAAAGATACGAACACAAAGACACCCAGCTGAAACCAGTGTGAGATAAACACCAACCTGCTGGTTTCAGCTGTTATGAATGTTGGCTATTGTAGTGAAGCAGCTCAGGATGCAGAAAATTGCAGCTCAACTGGTTGGACTGTTTTGCCTGCTGATAATGAATATCATTCCCAAAGGGAAACAATGGGAATTAGTCGTTAAGCCGGTGTGATTTCCCGGAGTTCGTGTTCGCTGATTGCATTGAGTAAACATAGAGCAACGTCAAGGTGAAATTTGATTTGTCAGCCATCATCTGATAAACTGAGTTCAAGCAGCTCAGCGATCTGTCAGATCTGTATCTGGGAACGCAAAGCTGCTTGGATCCAGTTTGACAGCAATTAGATCAGCTTATGAAAAATAATTTACCAAAACACATTCATGTCTATTATATTGAGTTAAAAAATATAAAGGTTTCTCCTAAATGTTGCCTTTAGTTAAAAATGAAAACAATGAGTCAATCAGCCAAGGTTTATCAAAGCTTAATTTGCAGGGAAAAAACCTTTTAAAGTTTTCCGGGCTGCATGACAGCAGCTAATGTTAGCATGATGGGTTTGTTTCAGCAAGAGCTAGCTGGCACTAAAACTCTGAATCACAAAGATGCTTATAATCACTGAAACCCTGTAGTCTGGAGGATTTTGAAGGTACTTTGTTTTATTTTTTACAGATTATGTAGAAGAGCAGAAGTCCAGTGTGGGTTCAGCTTTTCCCTCCAAAAATTAAGCTAACATAAAAAGCACGGATTTAAAATCAGAAGATTCAATGTATGGCCCAAAATGTTTTTATTTATTTTTATTAGGGACAATCTATGATGAGCCATGTTTTAAATTTAAGCTCATATTGTTGTTTTCTTGGATGCTAAACTGATAAATATTACAGGCTAGCTGCTAGCTGTTAGCTTTCTTCTTCTATGGTTTTTCTTCTTCTTCTGTTTTTCTTTTTGTTTTGATTAAATCAGTTCTGGCCTCCAAACAAACAACCCACGCAGTGAAATACTCACTGCAGGCCCAGAGTTTGGACTGGCGCCGTTGATGCCGTAGTGGAGCTGAGAGTTGCCCTGGAAACGGACGTCCATTTTGGAGAGGGGTTAAAGGTCAGCTGGCATTTGGTCTTCCTGAGGCTTCAGAACCGGTTTGGTTTTGTTCAGAATGATCATCTAATGGTCTCTGTGAGATTCTGCAGCAAAGGGAATAAAATGTGTTTGAATGATTAAAATAGTTTCATAGGAAATGTCAAGTATTTGTGGATTTTTGCTTTTTCCTCGCCATGAAATGTTCTTTCGCATTTTAAAGAGTTTCAACTGAACAAGAAAATGATTCATGTAAGACAGACTAATGTGTGAAGACGGTTTTTACTGCATATAATAGAAAAAGAAGAATGTCAAAAAATTTGCAGAAAAAATTCTAAATTTTGAGATTCTGAGTTTCAGAAGATGAAAATTTTTTAGTTTGCAGTTCAGAAATGTTGTTTTTTCTAGAAAATTTCTGGGATTAATTGCATAATTTCTGAGTTTTCATTCTCGCTAATTTTTTACTTTTGAAAATTATTTGTGAGATCAATTTCAAATTTTTAGTTTTTGGATGGAAATGTACTCCTTTTTCTATCCAATGTGAATATATAGTAGTTTTCATAGTTATTACCCTTAAATAATGATCCATGTTTTTTAACAGTTAAAGCAGTACTTCCAGATTAAATATGATCTGAAGGTAATATTAACGTTTTGTGGTACAATAAAAGATTAAAGTGTTAATTGGTCTTATGGGAGAAGTTTGTGTTGGTAAAAGGTTGGAACCTGCAGGTTTAATTTTTAACAGTCCTCTGGGATTTATACGCTTATCTGTGTTGCATAAATGTGCAAAGTGCAGCTTTCCTGTCTGAAATGTTTTGTGACTTTCTGTCTGATGTTTCCGGTTCAGCATCCCACCTGATGGACCAGTTAACCCACTACAGGCGGCTGCAGAACCGGATCCCAATGTGGCCGAAACCAGCGAGACATTCCGATCTGACGCCGTGAGAAACGACCACAGAGAAGTGAGTGACTGCAGCTCAAATAGAGATTTAACAACAGAAACTATTCCAGTGTAGAGTAGAAAACCAAACCTTCAGGTTTAGCTTTTAAAAAGTATTGAAAGAAACAGATGAGCTGTTTTTACTCAACTTGCAGCTGGTTTTCATTTTTATACAGTTTTTTTTCTCTAAAATCTGTCAAGGTTTCCCTCATTGAAACTGTATTTTTCATTAAAAACTCAATTTATCATTTAAATCTTGTAAAATTAAAATTATTTTTAAGAGAATGAAAAACATTTTTCTTTATTCGTGTTTCCAAACTTCAGTTTTTAAAGGTTTAGTTTCCCACAGAATAGCTAAACTAAAACTAAATAAACTTTTATGTTCAGAATGCAAACATATCATTCTGTTTCGAAAAGGTGCAGAAAGTTACAATATAATTGAATTAATCAACTATTTGTTCTTTGAAGATGTTACAGTAGATAAAAACAGCAGAAACAGGAGTGAAAATTACAAGTAAGCAAATAAATAACATCAGTTTTCAGGAGTAATCTTTGAAATTAAATTTGAAATAATTAAATTTTTCTTTCTTCCAGTACAAAGTCGGTAAAAACTCACCGCACAGATCAGTCATAATGAAAACAGCAGCAGGAACGTGGATCAGTCGCTGTGAGCTTCCAGCTGAATGCACCATCTTAAACCACCGAGAAACTCCGCCCACAGCGCGCGTTGGTGTGTGTGTGTGTGTGTGTGTGTGTGTGTGTGTGTGTGGTTTCATTCAGGTGGAGTTGGGAGGTGATGGTGACACAGTGGAAAGTTATTTCTCTGGGTTGGGTTCACAGCTAATTGGACATTTAAGTTTTGCTGCGAATGAAACCAAAACTAATTGAATTTTTTTTGTTTTATATCATAAAACAAAAATTCAAACGCAGAACGAGATTGTGGGAACAAATTTTGAATTATTCCATCATTTCATACACTTTACATTGATATTGTTCGTTCTTCCTGTAGATCTAGATTTAAAAATATGTAACAAAGAAAACCTGTCAGAAATCTTTGAAGTGATTGTACATGGAGTATTTTGATGAAAAAAATGTTTTTACCAATATTTTGTTAAAATCTACGATTTTAAAATCTATGATTTTAACAAAATATTGTTAAAATATTGTATTATTTAGAATATTCTAAATAATCAACAGAAAAATCTTTATCAACATTACATTTGCTAAGAAACTTTCTGACATGTTTTCATGATTAATTGTGTTGCTGAGCAACAAACTTGGCCCTGATCACCCTGATCACCCTGATCTTTGACATGGAGTCACCACTGACAGAAAAAGGACAATTACATTTTGAGATTAATCTCAGAAACTTTCTAGGAAACATTTTGGAAATTTCTGTGTACCAAAAGTCAAATTTTTACTTTTGAATCACAGAAATTACCAAATCTTTTCCAGAAAATTTCTGAGAATAATCTCAAATTTTTACTTTTTCTAGCTTATTTGTTTGACTTTTCAGACTTAAAAATATCCTTGGTTTTTCTGGAAATTAATGTCAAAATGTTTGTATTTTTCAAGCAAATTTTGGATTTATCACTTTCAGAAATTTGCTTTTTTTCTAGAAATTTTATGAGCTTAATCTCAAAATTTCATTTTTTTCTATCAAATTCTTGACTTTTCAAACTCAAAAATTTCCATGTTTTTTCTAAAACATGTATATCTGAGTTTAATTTAAGAATTTTAGTTTTTTTTTTTTACTAATTCTCAACTTTTCAAACTGAGAAATTTCCTCATTTTGTTTCTAGAAAATTTCTGAGATGAATGTCAAATTTCTTGGTGGAAATTTAAACCTCTTGTTGTCTAACGCATATGCACCAAGACAAATAAATTGGTAATTATTACATTAAATACTGTATTCACATAAGCTCCCAGTGAAGATTTTAGCAAGAAACCACCTTTGATTTGAATTGAATTTACTTTTTACATCCATAAATATAATCAGAATTTTATTCAATTTAAATTAATTTTTTTGCATGTTTTGATTATTATTCTCATTATATACATTCCATTTTATGCCAAATCCTTGTGGATGCTCTGTGTTTTTTCTGTGAATGAATGGATGAAAACCTTTGTTGTTCCCAGCATTAGTTTAACTGTGGCGCCCTCTGCTGGTTGAGTCTCATAAAACTGAAACTAATTCTAATTAAAACAAAAAGAAAATTATATCTCCTAAAACATGGCAAGAAAAACAACTTTTAAAAAAAGTATTTGCCTGTTGAAAATATTTCACGTATAAATAAATAAAAAAGTGTTTTAAAATCAAATTAATAATTAAATAATACAAATTTAAATGTTACAGAATGAGATCAAGGCCAGCAACTAAAAAAAGGATTCTGATTTTATTGAGATTAAAGGAAGAATTCAGAGAAAATTATGAGATTAAACACAGAATTGTAGGATTAAAGTAACATCAAATGGATGTGTGTTTTAACATTTATTTACTTTCTGTTCATACTCCTGAATTTAACATTTAAATCTTACTATTATTTGATGGATATAAAAATTGCAAAATTTTACAAAAGAGGATGAGAGTCAGTGTAAAATAAAGAATTATGACTTTCATCTGATAATTCTGCCTTTAATTTCAGAATTAACACTTCAATCTTAACATTCAATTATTCTCTGAATTCTGAATTTAATCTCAGAATTGTAAATATACTCTCATAATTGATTTTTTAAAAAAATCTGAATTCAGATTTTAATCTTACATTTTTCACTGTAATAATGTAATAATTTTATTTAGGCTATTTCTTGAAAATAAATTAATATTTTTATCAACAATAAAATTAGATTAAGATCGATTTAAAAATTATGTCATTGTTCTTTTCATCTGTAATTATTAAAAACAAATGTAACAATCATTATTATTATTATTATTATTATTATTATTATTATTATTATTATTATTGTTTATTGATTAATGGTGCTTTTGAGCCTGTAAACGAGTGACTGCGCTTCCTAAAACCCACCACAGGAGGTCAGTTAAGTCCAGTCTGACTGCATCCTGAGAGTTAGTCGCCTTTTTTCCGAGCCGTCCTCAAACGCATCTCCCGTCAGCCTCTGCGTCAACAGCCGCTCCGGTGTGTTTGTTTGTTTGTTTGTTTGTCGGCTTGTTCCGGCCGCTTACCGGGAGGCAGACCCTCCGCCCGGCCGCTGTCTTCACGGTGAGTGCTCGGCCGTCTTTAACGGTGACTCGTGGTGTTTTTTTTTTCTCCGGTTGGGCTCAACAATATTAGCCGGTTAGCATCTCCCGACAGATGATGATGATGATGATGATGCCAAATACGCCCATTATCGGACGGCGTCGTTTTGCGTTTCTGTTTGCGCAAAAAATAAAGTAGACAAATCGCCTTTTTGTTGTCGGTTTAACATGTCTGACATGGACGGGTCTGCTTCCATGCATGGCTGGTGTCAGGTAGCACCGGCTAGCACTGTTATCAACCAATAGTAGCCTGTTAGCTTGCAGAAGTTAGCATGTGATTCATACAGACTCATAAAGGGGCTTTTTTACACTATTAGTCTTTAAAGTTAATATTAACTTGGTTAAACCTGATGTGGATTATTTAAAGCTGATTAAATATTCATTAAAGTAAATATATGATATATTAAACCTTAATTATAATCATAGAAACCATAAAAGGTCGATTAGCTGCACCTTAAATCGACTCATTGGAGGCTAAAGTAGATTTAAGTTTAACTGTCCAGTCCTGCACTTAATTATTTATCATGGTGTAATCTAGAGCAGTGGATGAGTTGGATTCTAACGGTGGTTCAGATCGGTTATTAAAGGGTGAAATATTATGTTTTTGAATCAGAAGCTGACTTCAGAGCTGCTCCCTGAACAGGTGAGTGTCTGCTGTTGGACAACACCTGTCTGGGATCCCAAAGGGAAACTCAATGCTGCCATAACTCATATACGTTTTTCTAAAGAGTCAGTTTCCAAAGATGGTGAGGCTGTTTAGGAGCTCCAGCAGCAGTCAGTGTTGCAGCAAATCTACAGAAGCCTCTGACTGAAGACTGCTTATGATTGTTTCATGACATCCAGTTAGCAGAGACAAAATTTCACAGTAAAATTTCCTGGATGACAGGATCAATAAACTTTAAATTCTAATGAATGGAAGACACTTAAAATATCCCAAATAAATGAACAAAACAACAAATTAAATGTATCCTGAAGTCTTTGTAAACTAAATTGTCCTTCAAAAAAAGGGGCTGGTGAGGCTGAAAACTTTAATCCTCCAGTTTCTGGTAGAAAGAGAAAAACAATAAAACATGCAAATGGAAATTTTCAAGCTTGTTTTAATTTATCATGTGATTAAGTGATAACTTTAAGTCTGTCTGGTTGGAAAGATGTTGGAGTAGGGGATAAGCTCTTTGTTGGTTTGAACTTGCTATTCCTCTCCTTTTCAACTCCTGGAATTATGGGGTCAAAGTTCAGGGATTGTTTGAACTTTCAACTCGCCCTGTCACAATAACACATTTTGCTGGACGATGAATTGTTTAGGGATAAACATGAATATTGTTGTTTTGAAACAGTTTAAGTTACAGAACAGAAACAATAAATAAAATGAAAAAATAAACTTGATGGTTATTGTTGAGACCAAAACGGCAAACTAAAACTTTAATCATCCAGTTTCTGGCAGAAAGAGAAAAACAAAGAAATTATTGAATTTGTATTAATTTATCATTCAATTAACTAATTTATTGCTTATTGAGACAAGCTTCTGTTTGAATCTGTCTGGTTTTATGATTGATAAGATGTTGGAGTAGGGGATGAGCTCTTTTGTCACGATGATTTGAACTGCCTCATTCTTAACTCCTCTGAATTTTTGGGGTCAAAGTTCAGGCGTTGTAAAGACTAATGCAGCAGCAGGTCAGGGCGGCGCGATGTTTCCTCTGCTGCCCCCGGCTGTTTGTGGTCATAATGTTTTGCCTGGTGTGGATAAGTGAAACTGCTGTTGTTTCCATGTGTGACGGGTAAATAGACAGGATGAGCCAGTAACTGGATCCGTGATCGGCAGTGTCGGGTTACCACGGCTTTCCAGGACCGGTCGCCATGGAGACGGGCCGAATGGAGAGCAGCGATTGGTCAGTTTCAGACAGGTGGAGTTTCACCTGAGCTGTCAGAGTGTCACTGTCACGGCAGCTGGTGTGTTTCTACAGGTTTTCAGCTGATTTAATCGACTTAATGCTGATTTTATTTACATTTATTTGATTATTTCACATGTAAAATTGGTAGATTTAAAGTTTTATTTGTTTAAATTTCTGATTTCAGTTTCTGTCAGATATTAAAATTATATTTTAAAGAGTCTAAAATGCAGCAAAAACTAAATATGTGGTGCATTAAATCCATGTAGAATAATTTAATAAATCTATTCAACAGAAACTAATTATCACACTGTTCACTTTAGATCTTATTTTAACATTTAAAATGTAAAAATTTTTCCCAAAACTTTGATTTAAAGTGAAAATGTTCTTTTTTGGAAGTAATAAAATAAAAAGTATTAATTTGATTATCATTTTAATGTCATAAAATAATTATTTGCCCGCTAACGCCACGTTAGAAAAAAGAAGGAAAAAAACAAAAGAAGAAATAGAAAAACAGACAAAAATAAAATGGGGTGAAAAATAAAAGAA